GCAAACATAGGTTGAATAACTATTATGTTATAGGGATCAGTGATTAAATTATGCAGGTTCATTTACTTCTTGTTTGCTCTAAAGGGCATCCAGACATGCACTCACACAGTCACAATTTAGCGCTGCACTTAATTCAGCTTTGACAGAGAGGAAGCAGCGGGAGCAGACGTGACTCTGTCTGCTGCCCTGATTCTGCGCTCTCATCTTATTTCCCCTGCTGGTCGTCATTTATTGGGGCTTCATAAAGACAGAATGAGCGAGATCTCAGCCAGGCAGTATTAACCGCCCGTCTCCTCCGAGACAACCAAAGTCAACTCTCTCCCCTGCTTTCCCTTTCTAGACACCCCCCCTTCACCACTTCTTTACCTCTTGTTGCTTTTTCTCTTATCTTTTTTTCCCTCTCTCCCCTCTGTTATCCTCCTCTCCCCTCTAAAGAAACAGAGGACTCTTATCGCAGTTTAATCTCCAGCTGAGAGTCGGCAGTGTGGGGCCCAAGCCAATGTGACTTTGTCGTTTATTCTGTGTCGGGGCATCTTAGAGGACGGCCGAGTGTTTGTGTTAAGAGTGGTTGGGGTGATTGAGTCGCCAGAAAAGCCTCCAGGCGCAGAAAAACAGAGAAGAGGAAAATAAAGGAGAGGGAGAGTGATTTTTCACAACAAGCACAATTCAAACATGGTAATCTGATGCCCTGAGATATTTGAACACATACCCACACAGACAGGCTGCAGGCGATGGGAGGTGGTGTCTGCTGTAAGGGAGAGTGTGTGCAACCCGTAGCGTTATCCAAGCACTGCTGTGCTCTACCTACTGTGACAAGTGCTACGGCAAGGAATCCAAATGATATGCAAGAGGAAAATTAAAGAACAGGATGGTGAGAAGAAGAGGAGTGGGAAAGAAACTCCTTTGGAAACTCACACAGACTGCTTCTCCAAAGGACCGCAGTAGGTAGAGGGCGGGAAAAGAGTTTCAGTGATACTATGGTGAGGGTAAAAGAAAAGGGAAATAATTACAAATGCTACAATTTGCCTTCCTTCCATCCCCAGCTTGAAACCTCACCATGCAGAGAAAGAAATAAGAGCCAGAGTCGGAAATGGCCCCACAGGTGGAGGAAAGAATGAAAAAAAGCACTCAGGATAATAAAGAGAGGTCAATCCCATTCAGAACAAAGACGAGGTGTCTGTGATATCCAGGTCAGATTCTCTCCGGAGGTCTGAGTCTCTCCTCTTTATGTTTTCGTAATGGGCTTTTTAATTTGATTGATGGGTTGCCTGTCAAATCCTCTGGTTCCCGAGGGGAGGGCTCGGCACATTTTAAAAGTTACATCTTCTAACTCATAATGGACGGTCTGAGAGACGTGAGGACAGAGAAGGACTGATCTGTTTTGATATAATTTGCTCTTGGAAGGAAAGATGAGGAGAAAGAGCACCAAAGCCCCATCTAAAATCATAATACACCCGGTTTACTCTATAGTGAGCACTGTATGGACATGTGTACACTTGTGAATCAACGTCATTGTGCAGCATCATCAAGAGTGACACAATAATTTTCGCATATAAAATGTGACGTATAGTATTGTGGGATTGTTAGCACTAAACTACGGAGCCCCCTGGTGACATTGGATAAAAAAAAAATAA